GCTGGCCCCCTTGTCATGATGTGCATCCTAGGTGGAGAAATGCGCTTTGAGAGCTGTTACTTCCCCTTTAGGGTGATTGAGTTCCAAGGTGAGCTGAGGGTAAGGCTGGCTCCATTGTTGGCCTGCAAGATGATAAGCTGTGAGTGGGACCCTATCTACACTGTTTTGGAGTGGGCTAGGGCTACAGAAGAAGAGAGGAAATGCCTGCGGAAAGGCGAAGGCTGGGCCAGGGAAGCACATCCCCAAAGGGGGGCCAAGGCTGAGGCCGGTATAAAGCTGGATCAAGTGGCTAGTGTGGACCAGTTCCTGCAGGCCCAGCAGGAGGACCCGGAGCTACAGCAACTGGTGGATGAGGACCCCCAATAAGGACCGTCGATGAGAGAGGTCCACTATGAAGTAAAGGGGGGTCTTTTATATCAGATCCAGAGGGGCCAAGGGACCAAGGCAGAGAGGTGCCAGGTAGTGGTACTGAGTTGTCAATATAAGCGATGGTGTTTCACCATCAGATTTGGTGGCTGGTGCATGGTACCCCGTTGGGAGGGCACCTGGGGCGCAGCAAGACAAAGGCACAGATCATCTGCGATTTCTTCTGGCCCCACTTACGAGATGATGTAGTGGGTGGTGGCCTGTCCAGAGTGCCAAAGAGCTCAAGAGCAGGGGCCTTCTAAAGCCCCTTTACAGTCAATGCCCGTCATTGAAACACCATTCTCTTGGGTAACACTGGACATTGTGTGACTGCTCCTGAAGTCCCATACAGGGTACCAGTTCAGACTGGCCCTCCTGGACTATGCCACTAGGTTCCCTGAAGTGGTGCCACTCAGGTCGATAAAGGCCACCCAGGTAGCTGAGGAGTTATTAAAATAGATAGCCCGAGTGGGGATACCCCATGAGATCCTCACCAACTAGGGACCCAATTTAATGTCAGGAGTAATGAGGGCCCTGTGCAAAATCTTAGGCATTACACACATGAAGACCTCCGTATACCACCCCCAATCCAACAGGTTAGTTGAGAGGTTGAACAAAACGATCAAGAGGATGCTTAGGAGGTATGCCCAGGAGGACCTGCACAAGTGGGACAAGGTGTTAACACCCCGTTGTTTGCACTGTGGGATGCACCACAAAAATCAACTCAATTCTCGCCCTTCCAGTTAGTATATGGACACAACCCAAGGGGCCTGCTGCATATGTTCAGGGAAGAGTGGGAGAGACCGGTGGGGCTGAGGGTACCTGCAGAAAGTTACAGACGGGAACTACAAGAGAGGCTGTCAAGAACACAACAAATGCCAATCAGAACCTAAGAGAAGCCCAATTGAGCAGAAGGCCCAATACGATCTCAGGACAAGGGCAAGAGTGTTCCAACCTGGGGACATTATACTAGTTCCCACATCATCAAGTAAATAACTCACAAAGTGGCAAGGACCCTTCAAGGTGGTAAGGCAGGTGGGGCCAGTAGATTACGAGGTCTCCAAACCTGGACACTGATGGGAGTGCCAAATATACCACATCAACCTTTGCAAAGAAAGGAAGATGCCACAGGGGTGGATGGCACTGCACAAGGAAGAGGATGCAGAGCTGGGACCCTCTTGTTTGGAGTTAAGAGCCAGCAAGATACCAGAAGCACAAGCCCAGTTCAGGAAAGAATTAACTGTAGAACAACGAGAGTTGGCCAGGTTGGTAAAGGCATTTCAAGACGTGTTCCAGGAGACCCCTGGACGAGCTAGAGGTGTGGAGTACAAGATTCGAACCCCACTGGGGCACTGGTCAGGGAAAGGTGGCGACCCATCCCACAACAGTTGCAAGAAGAGGTCTGCCAGGAGATAGCTAAGATGCAGAAGCAGGGTATCATCCGCCCATCCCAGAGTCCCTGGTGCAGCCCCATAGTGCCCATAGCCAAACCCGATGGGTTGCTCCACCTATGCATCGATTACTGAAAATTAAATGCGCTAGCAACCTTTGACACCTTCCCCATACCCCACACGGCCCATCTCATGGGGAAAATAGGGGAAGCGAAATTTATATCAACAATAGACCTAGCTAAAGGGTACTGGCAAATCCCCATGAAACCCTTGGATTGTGCCAAGACAGTGTTCGGAATGCTGCGGGGTTTATTTGAATTCCTACACATGCCATTGGGGCTTAATGGGACAACAGCCACTTTTCAAAGACTGATGGATTCGCTGCTGGCCCCACGCATGGCCGCTTATATTGACAATATAATTGTCTACACGACGGATTGGCCACAACACCTTCACACACTAAAAGCCTTCTAGGGGAGCTAAGAGCAGCTGGGATGACTGCTAACCCCAAGAAGTACAAACTCGCTGGTCATGAGACCAAATACCTTTCAAGAACCACGCAGCCAACAGCAACTGCAACCATTCCTGGGGCTCATCAACTACCATTGCAGATTCATACCACACATTGCTGAGCTGGCCGCACCCTTAATGGATGCACTGCAGGGAAGATCCACAAAAGCCCCACAGTGGACCCCCAAAATGTTTGAGAGTTTAGAAAAACTGAGGAAGACACTGTGTTAAAATGTAGTGGTACACACCCCTGATTTTGCAGCACCTTTTATTTTGCAGACCAACACCTTGAACAAGGCATTAGGAGCCATGCTGCTACAACAACGGGGAGGAAAGGAGTGCCCTGTAGTGTTCGCTAGCTGTAAGCTCAACTCAGTGGAGGGCAGGTATGCAATGATTGAAAAAGAGTGCTTAGCACTACCTTGGGCAATTGAGTATTTTAGATATTATCTACTAGGTCGGGAGTTTACCATAGTCACGGACCACACCCCATTGCAATGGTTAACAAAGTCCCACATAGGCAACACACGGACAACCTGCTGGACGTTGACTCTACAGCCCTTCAAGTTTGCAATAGTACATTGTCCTAGCAAGGACAACCTCATTGCTGATTTCCTCTCCAGGTGTACTGGCCAAGAAAACCCAGCAGAAGAAGTGCTGCAAGCACACCAGAGGCAACACCAGTTGGTACCAGAAGACTGACAAAACACCGAGACTTCACAAGGCAGCTTAAGGGGAAGGTCTGTGGCAGCTGGGGACACTCCCCAGAACCGGAAGCACTGGGGTCTGGCCCCGACACTCCTGAAGGGGGACCCCAACACCAGAGGAAACTTACCTGGGAGGGAGGCAGAGATGGGATGGAAGCCACGCAAGCTGGTGCTGCGACAGCTTTTCAGACAGCTATCAATCAAACTGGGCAGCGGCTGGCTGATGAGTATTGCCATCTCTGGGCCAGAGAAAGAACACCACTGAACCCATCCTTTCAGAATTAGATCCATCAAGACGTGGCAGGAAAGTCAGGGCCTGGCCCAAGGAGCGGGGGGAATACTCACAACACCAACAGGGGGCATCACATGAGGATTTCTTTGCTTTACTTCATAATAAATTTTTCAGCTTCTTGTGACTCTTCCATCAATAGCCGTTTCGTGACCTTCTGATGTAGGACAGATTACGAGATAGCTTGTGTGATCCTGAAAGTCTTTTCCATCCTACTCTCTAGCCTTAATACTTGACAGGAATTTTCCCGTCTAATTGTAAATAACATACACACTTATTACTTGAAAACAGGATCATAACAGAAACAGAATATCAGTCCTAAGAATGTTGCATAAATTAAATCCAAATCTCAAGAAAGAGGGGCTGAACCTCTTAGCAGCGCACAGGCAGAGAGGGATCTTGGAGTCAGGATTGACTCCAAGATGAATATGAGTCACCAATGTGACGAAGCAACAGGCAGAGCCAACCGCACCCTGTCCTGCATCAACAGGGGCACCACTAACAGGTCCAGAGAGGTCTTGCTCCCCCTCTATGTGGCACTGGTCAGGCCGCAACTGGAGTACTGTGTCCAGTTCTGGGCGCCGCACTTCAAGAAGGATGTGGAGAACCTGGAGAGGGTCCAGAGGAGGGCCACTTGTATGG